TCATGGCTGAGGTGCTTTTTTTCTAAAAGGCAACTGGACTTTACCTTCCAAAGATGCCATTCTCTGCTATTGAACATTCCCAATCCTCTATTCTGACTTTCAATCTTTATCTTATTCTTGGAAAATTTGAGGGATTATTTCTGTGCATCTGGATGATCCCTCTCTTATGAGAAAGGATAGAGGAGGTAGTATTTGACCCAGGTTAGGTCTGGTTTAGTATTTGAATGAGCAATCGCCAGAGGACCAAACATAGCTCCGAAAAAGGCAAACTGCTTCCACATTATTATCAACAAAATGAAATGCCCATGTGGGCAACAAAAAGCTCAACCTGACTCAAGGGGGATTTTATTTTTTTAAAATACTATTTTGGCTCCAAGAGAATTAAATTGAATAACTTAATATATAGGCCCGTGATGGTGAACCTATGGCACGTGTGCCACAGGTGGCACGCGGAGCCATATCAGTGGGCACGCGAGCTCAGCTCCAGTGCACATGAATGCGCCGGGCAGCTGATTTTCGGGTCTTCTGGGCCCACCGGAAGTCAGGAAATGGGTTGTTTCCAGCCTCCAGGGTGGGTAGGGAAGGCCGTTTTTGCCCTTCCCAGACTCCTAGAAAGGCTATGGAGCCTGAGGACAGCGAAAAATGGGCTTACCGGGCCCACCGGGCCATCGTGTGCCAAAAACAGGGAGAGCACGGGGGGATGCACATGCATGTGCGGGGGGGGGCGCATAGAATTATGGGTGTGGGCACACACATGCGCAACTCCCCGCGCTCTCCCCCACTTTTGGCACGCGATGGCAAAAAGGTTAGCTATCACTGATATAGCCTGTAATTTTCTGTTGTGTTAATTTGTTTCTCCTGGTTTATAGATGCAGTGCTTCAAATGTGATTTTTTAAAACTGTTTTTCTCTTCCCTATTCTTTTCTTGGTCTCTCTTTTTTAGTCACTTTGAAAGTGTGCTCGATCAGCGAGTGTAGCAATATCCAAGGAAGCATTCCTTTCCAGAGGTAAAATAATAACTATCAACAAATAATACATAAAAGAGCCAGTTTGATCTAGTGGTTAAGGCATCAGGGTAGAAACTGGGAGACTGTGAATTCTACTCCCACCTTAGGCATGAAAGCTGACTGGGTGACTATGGGCCAGTCACTCTTTCTCAGCTCATCTCACCTTACAGGGTTGTTGTTGTAGAGAAAAGAGGAGGAGAAAGGTGCATTAGGGATGTTCAGCACATTAAGTTATTTATAGAAATAATAAGGGTGAGATATAAATATATAAACAAACAAATAAATCAGGGGGGGTTAGTAAAAGAAGAGAAATAGATTCTAATCAACCTAATAAAGAACTCCTCGGAATAATTGATGAGTGAATCCAAATCCATTTTTCCAGCATTCTCAGGTACTTAGTATCAGAGGCAGTCCACCAGATTCCTGAAACAAAGGGACTGATTAGGCAAGGATTCTACTAGATTTGAGGCTATTCCCCAGATTGTTTCTCTACAAATATTTCCATAGTTCGCCATCAAAGAAAAGTTCCCTTGCTTCCTCTTTTTTCAGCCTGGATAGTTTCACATATTTTTGTATTCATGTTTATAAAAAAAGAACATAAAACATCTGGCAGAGGGGCCACGTGAAACTATAAATGATGAATAAACTTCTGTGGAAGAACAAAAGTTGGTCCCCTGTAAAGGAATACAGGACCTATGACCACAATTAAGCCCAAAACCTAGGTTGCTAAGTGAAACATTTGCTAAGTGAATTTTGCCCCATTTTATTACCTTTCTTGCCACAGTTGTTAAGTGAATCACTGCAGTTATTAAGTTAAAAACACAGGTGTTAAGTGAATCTGGCTTCTCCATTGACTTTGCTTGTCAAAAGATTGCAAAAGTCACATGACTCCAGGACACTGCAACCGTCATAAATATGAGTCTCTTGCCAAGCATCTGAATTTTGATTGTGTGACCATGGGGATGCTGTTGTAAGTGTGAAAACCAGTCATTTAAGTCACTTTTTTTCAGTACCGTTGTAACTTTAAACCAGGGGTCTAAAGTTTAAACTGTCAGACTTCGATGCTATCTCAAAATAAATGAATTTCCAAACTGCCAATCTTTAAGGAAATTTTCTCTTTATTCGAGTACAGCAACCGGATCATGACTCGTGCGGTCAGGACTGACCTTTGCCCCCCAATCCCTCCCTTTCTGATCCCCAATTCTCTGCTTCTCATTGGCTATCTTACAAGTCACTCTCATGACTCCTTTTCTCGTCAGTTCACAGGAATGTTTCCCCCCTCTTCATCTCCAAGGAGACCGAAGCTTCAAAGGGATTTAGCAGGCAAAAGTTCAGGCTTTATCTCCCTTTTCTATGTCAGCGCTGAGACGCTGACATAAACACTCAAAGAGCCAAAAAGGTCCTAACCGGAAACCCCCATTCAATTCTGGAGCCGACCGGAAGTCTGATTCCCCCATCAGTCTCCCCCTAGCACGGCATCCTTTTTCCTCTGCTGACCAGAAGTACGTTTCCCCACCATAGAGTTTCCTCCTAGCGCGGCATCCTTTCCTAACCGAAAGCCCTATCAATTGTGGAGCCGACCAGCAACAGGGAGCCGCAGCAGAGGGATGAAAGAGCCACATGCGGCTCAAGAGCCACGGGTTGCTGACCCCTGCTTTAAACAGTCACTAAATGAACTGTTGTAAGTCAAGGATTACCTGCAGTCCTTTTTTGCCTATCATAGAGTCCCAAGTACCCCTTGGGAAGTGCCTATTTCTGCTGGGCCATGTCCAAATGCTCAGGGACCTACTCGTATGAGTTCCCATAAAGTTTTAAGGCAGGACTCCTAAGTTTTTAACAGCTGCATGACAGAATAGGAAACTAACTGTTCCATTTTTCATCTTGGTCTTCATCTATCTTCCATCTTGATGCTGAAATGGCATTTGCAGCATCTGCGAGCAAAATAATTGTGACAAAAGAATACATACTGTGCTTTTCTCAGACTATAACTGTTCCCTTGCCCTCGGTGCCAACTTTTGTGAATTCTGCAGGAGAAGCCACTTCATGGTGCATCTGACACTTTGCAAGCATTGGGGGGGGGGAGAGGTGTTTTTGTACAGTAAAGGAGCCAACCAGGTCTGCTGCCTTTCCCGTTGTTTGTTTACACCCGCATTTCCTCAAAGTGTGGTTTTAGGGCTCTTGGGGATCCCCTAAGACGCTCTCAGGGGTCCTCAAAATCAAAGTTATTTCTCAGCGTACGTTGAAAAATAACACACTATTAAAACCAAAAAATTGTGAGAAGCAATACTGGCAGCAAATATGTCAGTTTTTAATATGATAAATAGTAAAATCATTGGAGAAGGCAGTGATGATAGGAATGGCTAATGGAACAAGAAGGGGAAAGCCAATAACACGCTGGCTTGGTAACTTCAAATCTGATAAAAAGTTGAAATCCAACAATTGAAAGAAGCTGTGTTTGATAGGGTAATATGGAGAGCACATGATTAAATGGTTAAAACAATAAAATATTAAAAAGCATAACCCATACAAACAAAACTTATGTGTTTTTTAAAAGTGGAAGGGGTCCTGAGGGAAAAGAAATTAAGAAATACCGGTTGACATATCTGTCCTGCACTGAACACTGATAAGGTTTTTCAGGCGGGGGGTGGGAGTGGATTTTATCACTCACTTGCATCTTTTGTTCAAATGATACATTTCGAGGGTTTATGAAAGCTGACTTCTTCCTAAGCAAAACACAAACATCCCCCAAAACGAGGCTATATGTTTATTTGTTTCTGCCATGTCCTCAAGTTAGAATTAGAATAAACGAGTTGGAAGGGACCTTGGAGGTCTTCTAGTCCAACCCCCTGCTCAGGCATGAAACCCTGGCCTATACCATTTCAGATAAATAGTTATCCAATCTCTTCTTAAAAACTTCCAGTGTTGGAGCATTTACAACTTCTGGAGACAAGTTGTTCCACTGATTAATTGTTCTAACAGTTAGGAAATTTCTTCTTGGTTCTAGATTGCGTCTCTCCTTGATTAGTTTTTTCTTATCTCTTCTGATAATAAAGTACTGTAATATTTTTCCGCTTTTCCAAACACACCTCTGACTGTGGATATGTGGATATTATATACCATGGGTGTCCAACCTTTTGGCTTGCCTGGACCACACTGAGTGAAGAAGAATTGTCTTAGGTTGCATATAAAATATATAAAATAATTAATGCATATAAATCACGTTAAAAAGTTTACAATCTTGTGGGGCTGCATTACTAGCTATCCAGAGCCAAATGTGGCCCCAGTGCCATGCATTAGATACGCCTGGCATAGACCATTTGGGTACCAAATGGACCTATTGCTACTGGCCACATAATCAGAATCAGGTTCCTTGTTGCTCATTGGAATTTCCTTGCAGCACTTTCTGTCATTGGACCCACAAAAAATACGGAGAGCATGGAGAGAACAATTATCTGGCCTTGTTACTATGGCAGAATAGGGATCGGTGACGGGGGCAGCACGACTTATGCCAATGTACTTTTCTGCCTTCTCAAGTGCTGATGGATTGGACTTTTAATCTGATCATCAGAATGAATCTAGACAATAATATTGGGTGTATAAATAAAACTGGATCGGAATCAGCATCACAGTACATGTTACAGTCAAACTCAGTTCAGCATTACTTCTTGCAGGTGAAGATTGATTCCTCTTGGTTAGCCTTCACAAGGTTAACCTTTAAGACCAGCATTTTGGTGAAGCCTCAAAGAAATGGCTCTGTAGCTGGTGGATATCTCCCATCTTTCTTTCTCCCTCCCCCCCCCAAGGATATTATGAGAAGAAAATAGGGAAAGCAGATTTCTAAGTAAGTATTGTTTCCTCCCACCACACAACACTTCTTCTCCATCTGCTGCAGAGTCATTGTCTTCCAGAGATGCCTCCTCCGTTGGCTCCGGGAGCAAACCCTGCTACTATGTGACACCGGAATCTCTGTATTAGCGGCAAGGCCACCTTTAGCCCAGGGCCACTAGTTGCAGAGCCCTCTTTCCAAGCCTGTCCGCCGGTCGCTCGAGTGTGTGTGTGTGTGTGTGTGTGTGTGTGTGTGTGTATGTCGCGCGGGACGTCACGTGCTCTTTTGGCCCAGCGCCTTGTTTGCAGAGCGAGCGTCCTTCGGCCTGTTGTTTGTTATTGCAACAAATGCTGGACGTCCCCCGGGCGCCCTGTCGCTGGAGTTTACCTTCTTGGCAATCGGCCTGCTTCTGCCTTTCCCGCCTTCCCCGCCTAGGCAACCCTGATCGCCCCCTTTCTCCTCTCCCTCTCCCCGTCTGCTGCAATGATTGATCACTTCTCGAAAGGCTGCCCTATCTTGGCAAGCACGATTTCTGTGCTAGGTGGACTTTAGCTTTCCCTGATTTGCATCGCCAGCCTGGCGTGACACAGCTCGGTGATGAGCAGCCGGGACAATTATCGGACGGGGGAGTGGCTGGAGCGACCCGGTGGGTGCATGAGCGGAGCGCTTTTCCAGCGCTCCTGTGCCTGGAGCTCCATCTGCGTACGAGTTCGGGATCCGCCGCTTGCGCTCCCTCGCTCCGCCCCTATCCGCCCCTATCTAGGGGCTCCTCCAGCAGAAGGAGCGGAGTCGCGCTTCGGAGGGAAGCTTTCCGTCGCCAACAGCTGCAACGGATCCACTTGGACCGGAGAGCAGGAAGAGGTGCGCGCCCCCGATTTGGAGCGTGCATCGGGGCAAGAAGGGAATGAGAGAGAGAGAGAAGCACTGAAACTCAGACCTTGTAAGTGATCTTGCGGGAGAGTTGGTGGTGCACCAGGATCGGGTGCGGGGTGGCGGGTAGAGGGCTCGAAGTATTACGAAAGGAGTTACAGGTGGGAAAACTTCCTGATCGAAGAAGGACAGAAGCGAGACTGGCCCGGATCGACAACCAAGCAGGGCTGGTTGTAAAATGCTTAGTTTTATCTTCTCGCACATTGCTTACGCTCCTTTGATTTTTTTTTTATTTTTTTAAAAAAAATTTTAGGCTGCAGTCGTGGGCGCGCTCATTTGGAAATTATTCCCTTGCATTTAATGAACTTTTATTTCCCGAGCAAGCAGAGCGCACAGGAGCAAGATGTGTAATAATCCGTTGCATGTTTTACTTAAATAGAGCCTCATCCACCGATGGGATGGATGCCCGAGTTGGGTTGCATGCCCTCCCCCTTCAGCTGGATTAGAGTCAAAGTGGTTAAAAGAACCTTTTTCCATAGCAACATATCTGTAGTGAGTCTAATTCCCCGTTGCATTATCTTTATTCTATTCTGGCTGATAGAAAAACAAACAAACCCTAATCCTACATGATAATGTTTACTACTGTGGTGCCCGGTGGTTTGCTCCTAAAGAAAAGTGGATGTTTCATGTTGGGCAGCTTTCTTCAGTATGTGCCTTCAGTTGTGTAGGGATTGCAAATCTGAGAATTCCCATTGACAGTGTTGACTAGCAATTAGATTCCCAGTTCTTCTGAAGGGTTGTGGACGTGTGAATTCTGTGAAGAGAGAGGCTCTGTGCAGTGTAATATTAACCCACCGCCTCTACTTTGACTTCCTCATCTGTATCCCAACTCATTCCCAGCTCTTCCCCAGGCAATTCCCTAATTGCTGAGAATGAGGGCTGCCCAGCCAGGAGTCCCAGTTTTAGTTTCAACCTGGTGTCTGTGAAATGCATTAATCCACCTCTCTCCCCTGTAACATGAAGAGCAATAATCAAAATGATAGTGCTGAGATAATGCGTGCACCCAAATATTTATAACTATGTGAATGCTCCTCTCTCAATCTAGAGATCATTGCAATCCCATCTTTTTTCCAAAAATATGATTGGGTAGCAATATATTTTTTTTCTGATTTAAAAGGAAGAGAAAGGCACCCACATTAATCAGGAATGTGATTTCTTTGATTTTCGTTAGATTGGCCCCAGCTATCCATGAGTTTTACCTTAGTACGTTAAACAAACCCAGCCATTTATGGGTTATTTATTAAATTGTGATTAAATAAGCTGTGGTTGAGCTAAGTCAGTGTGACACTGAAAGACGACTCCTAGCTATTCCGAGTGTCCTTGATTGTCTCTTGCCTCTCTTGCCTCTCTGATGTTTTGAGTGGCTCAGCCATAGCCAGGTACAACAGAAGACTGACATGACCTAGTTCAAGTTTTACTCCTGAAGAGAATAAAAAGATGGAGAGGATAAAGCAAGAAAAAGATGGAAAGTTCTTGTGTACCAGCCAGAACTTTTTGATAAAAGATGGGAATGTAAATGTAATTAAGCTCAGATATTTATTTTAACCACCCAATACATTTTATTTATATTCTTCAACACCTACCCTTCCATGCCTACCCCTGCTGCTTGGATCCAGTGCTGCCCGTTGATTCTGTGAAGCAGGCAAGCAGGAGAAGCTGGCAACAGAAGCGTCTCCATCTACCATTCTAAGAGCCATCCTGAGTGGCTTCCCTGCACCAACATGTTCTTTTCCTCTTTTCAAGTCAGATTTGATTAGGAGCTGCGAGACAATATCCAGGAACCCATCTTTTGCCAGAGAGAGAATGGCTGCTGTCTGTTTTAAGACATCCAGTATAAATCAGCAGCTCCCAGTCAAGAATGACATAGAGCCAATAGAGGGAATAAGGAAATACTTGGGTGGAAAATGAAATGCTGTTTTAGGAAGGCTTGTGTCAGCTTATGCCATGCCAAGAAAGTATTAAAGTTGGGTTAAGTCTTGTTTTGACAGAGAGGCTGCACATATTTTTAGAGAAATTAAATCACTTTGATTCCCTCTTGGCACATTGATTCTGCACACAGACCCACACTGCGTACATTTTATCACTTGGAATGGATTTTTCTGAGACCAGGGGGAGATCACAATTGTATGTGATAATGGGCCACTGCAGGCAGTAACCGAAAGGAAAGATAGATCCAGATTCCTGTGTTTTATAGCGTAAAAGAACAGCTTCAGTTAACACGATGATCCACAAAGCTAATGGCATTTAAGATTACAATCTTTATAAAAAAAGAAAAGAAAAGCTTAATGCCATGCTGAATTAAGTCTTAAAAACAAAACCTTACTTTTTCCCCCTAAAAACAAAGTACTGAATAAAAGTAAATGATGGATAGAACTTCCTTGCATCCAAGTGGACTCTGAATTGGATTTATTTGTAAATCTATTATAAAAAGTAATAGAGATACAGGGCAAACTGATCCTTGAAATGCATCCCATGTGTGAAATATTACTACAATTCAAAAGGACAAAATATGCAAACTTATTACATCAAAAAATTAAGTAGATCCAACATGTATCTCAGTAATTTGTAAATACAGATGAATGATTGGTCACTTCTTGAGGCATCAAGTTATATTCCTTAATATATCAGTAGCACAAATCTTTTTGTAGTGAGAGGTTTTTTTAAAATTGCCTTCTTGCAAAGAGAGGACCAATGTGAGTTCATGACAAGAAAAGAGTTTGCTCTTCAGTGTAGGACTCGGGGGATTACAATACAATCGATCTTTCACCCCTCAAACTTTTGATTTCATAATTGAAAGTAATCAGGACTTCAGAAATATTTAAGTTACTAGGATGCTGTGCTGACAGACCTATTTACATATGTCGGGACCTGCAGCGCTTGTAGAATACTGACAGCCAATCAGAACGTGCTTTTCTTGACAAAAAAATGGAGCGCAGAGATACCTCAGTCTGTCAGTGACAGGTCCCTCAGTAAATGAATGAACAATTGTAAGCTGTATATTTACCTCCTGATTTGAAGGTTCTGCATTTTGTCTCCTTTACCAGGTTCTCCAATGGCCAGAAATGTAATTACCTCTGCAGAACCACTCAGAAATTGCCCATTTGCCCCCTACTCCCACCCCCGTGCTTCCCATTGGCACAAAATGAGAGATTCTTGGTTTACAGCACTGATGACATTACCTAGTTTGGGTAATGAAACGTCTGCAAGAAAACAAGCAAGTTCAGAGAGCACCAAGGATCCCTCATTTCAACACTGAGCTACAAAAAATTCTCCTTTATTTGCACACAATATGTGGACTGCAGCAGAATGAAGTCAGGTAGTCTCTGTCTTACAATCACAATGGGACCAGAATTTCCATTGCTATGCAAGGCAGTTGTTAAGTGAGTTGCACCAGAGTTTCCTTTTCCTCCCACAGTTAAGCGAATCATTGTAGTTGTAAGATGAAACATGTGGTCATTAAGCAAATGCAACGTGCCCCGTTGACCTTGCTTGTTGCCAACCAGCTGGGAAGGGTTGCAAATGGTGATCACATGACCCCAGGATACTGAAACTGTCATAAATGCATGCCCATTGCCAAGCCCCCTGATTTTGGTTATGTTGACCATGGGAATGCTGCAATGATCATACATAGTTGTGAGGATTAGTCATAAATCACTTTTTTCAGTGGTGCTGTAACTTAATCGACCATTAAATGAATGGTTGTAAGTCAAGAACTATTCGTATTGGGGAGAGATCAGAGTCGGAGTTCAATTGGCTTTGTGGAGCAGATTTTCAGCCACAGGTTATAATGCCCAAAATCTGAGGTACACATTTACCTGAAAGCAGCACTCTCCTGTATAGGAAGGTCAGATCAGACTGTGGTGGCACAGTGGTTAGAATGCCAGTATTGCAGGCTAATTCTGCCAACTGCCAGCAGTTCGATCCTGACCGGCTCAAGGTTGACTCAGCCTTTCATCCTTCTGAAGTCGGTACAATGAGGCTCCAGATAGTTGGGGGAATATGCTGACTGCTTAGAGAGGGCTGTAAAGCACTGTGAAGGGGTATGTAAGTCAAGTGCTATTTCTATTGCTTATCTCTATACCATAATCTCAAAAGGATTTGAAAGTGGCCCTTCCATTTTACAGGTAAATTATTTTGAAAAACAAAATACAATAAAGAATCCCTTCAAGGATGCAGTAATGTTTTCCTTGGGGGAAAAGAAAAGATTAGATAGACTACATTGACAATGAAATTGTATCATTATTTAACAACAATAAATCTCATTGAATTGAGTGAAATATATTCCAGTAAAAGTAAACATGGAATTACATCTTTAGAGATATCTAATATTCACCCCTTATTATTTGCGTCCCCATTGTAAAGGGGAGATTTCTCATAAATAAAAAGTAGAGTATTGGTTTTGAAAAAGTTAAGTAGAAAAGTGTTCTGATTTTCACACCTGTGCTTTTGAAAGTACAAGAGCAGAGGCTGATAGCTTTTTGATAGAGTGTCTGTCTGTTTCAGCGATTACAGGTTTCACAGGGTGAAACAAAGATATTGCTGGAGGGAGAGGATAAGAGTTTTCTACCACTTGCTTAACACACCTGTTTGCTTGCTTATTTGTCTGTTTTCCTGCTGAAAATCAGCAAGAAATCAGTGGTGATTTCTGGCATGTTCTTGAAGAAGAGACTGCAATTAGGAAAAAAAACAATATTAGGGGTTACCTGTGGCTTGCGAGTCTATCTTGGAGTGCTGATTTCTATCCTGGAAAGTAGTCATGAGAAAAAGAAATATTAGAGACTGTTAATATTTTAGTTGATTCTTCCAAATAATCTCTTAGCTGTAACCCTATATTTAATAGGGTTTAATAGGGACAACATTTAGTCCAGAGCTAAATGTTGTATCTTGGGGAGATACAGGTGAATTACTCTCTTCCTAGGAGATACCTTTCTCCATATCTTCCACATCCACATGCAAAAGGATGCCTTTAACTTCAGCATTGTTTCTCCATGAAAAAAACCCAGAGGTTATGTTGGTGGACGAGAAGTAACAGGGACTTGGTTCCTATTTGCCAGAATGATATTGTTTCACATTGACAGGTAAACAGCTGTTGCAGAGTAGGGGCTGGTTATGTCTCAAAAAACTATGCAGTCCAATCTCATCTTCACCTCTATGGAGGTGCAATCGTATATAATACACCCACTTGGAACCTGGAATATATAGACTGCAATTAGCTTTACATCTGGCATTTTTCCTTATCACCCGATCTATAATTTGGGAATAATCTGGTGCTTTGCCTAATGAAGGAGAAATGAGTTGAGGAAATCTGTGCCAGAATGAACTTTATTGAACAAGCTTGGCTCTCGGCCTAACCTATTTTATAGGGTTATCATCAGGGTGGATAAAAATCAATGATTTTTTTAAAAAAATCAAAAAAATCAGATTTTTTTTTATTTAAATCAGATTTTTTTTATTTAAATCGGATTTTTTTGATTTTTATCGAATTTATTTTAATAAAAAACTTTTGGGGTAAAAATCTATCGTAAGATAGTTTTCTATTTAAGATACATAAATAATTTAGTTTATTCAGCATGAAATGGAGCTTACTTATATAGCATGAGGCTGTATATTCCGCAACACTGGGGCTATCGGTGAGTCAACTGGGTCAAAGGAGTAGCAGAGATGACAGTTGCTCTTTAAAAATTATGATTTAAATCGAATTGATTTAAATCAAGCCTTTTTACTAGTGATTTAAATCATGATTTAAATTGTGATTTAAATCAACTCGATTTAAATCAAATCCACCCTGGTTATCATGAAAAAAATGAAACTCGTATATAACACATATAGGTAGTCCTCGACTTATGGCCACAATTGAGCCCAAAATTTCTGTTGCTAAGCAAGACAGTTAGGTGACTTTTGTCCCATTTTGTGACCTTTCTTGCCACAACTGTTAAGTGAATCATTGCAGATGTTAGGTTAGTAACACAATTGTTAAGTGAATCTAGCTTCCTCATTGACTTTGCTTGTTGGAAGGTCGCTAAAGGTGATCACGTGACCTGGGGACACTGCAGTTATCATAAATACATGGTAGTTGCCAAGGGTCCAAATTTTGATCGGAGGACTGGGGATGCTGCAACGGTTGTAAGTGTGAAAAATGTTCACAAGTCACTTTTTTCTCCAGTACCGTTGTAATTTCAAGCAGTCACTAAATGAATGGTTGTAAGCCAAGGACTACCTGTATGCATTTTAAAAATGATTGTCAACAACAGTAACAACAATGGCAACCCATTAGATAACAATGCTTTGAGCATCCAAACAGTCATAGGTTCAGTCTAATCTATTATTAGCAGCATTCTACAGAGAATAGGAAACAATCCTCTAAGCCAGGGGTGTCAAACTCGCGTTGTCACAGCAGCGTTATGTGACGTATTGTGACTTTTTCCCCCGGGTTTGGCTGTAAGCCAATGTTTCTCAACCTCAGCAATTTTGATTTGTAGACTTCAACTCCCAGAATTCCTCAGCCAGCATGCAGCTGAGGAATTCTGGGAGTTGAAGTCTACACATCTTAAAATTGCTGAGGTTGAGAAAACACTGCTCTAAGCTTCCGCATCTCCTGAAAAGTTCTTAAGAGAGGCTGAGGGACCTTTTGAAGGAGCATGACTAATCTGAGGATCTACATAATGATTATCTCCCAACTCCTTTTTCCAGTGGGAAATCCTTTCTCATCCAAATCTAGCTCATCCGTGTTAAATGATGGTGTTGTTAAAGATTGTTGCAGCAGATTTTGCTTTCTTGATGAATTTCAGGACCAGATTAATGGGAGAATTATACTCAGTGGCCTATGCTGAGATTTCTCTGTTACAGATAATATACAGATTATCCACTAAATGAAATATAATTCATATGAGAGATCAAATTAAGAATAATATTCTTTTACTCATGGAAGTTTTGGTTTCTCCCCAAGTTAATGCATATAGAAAGAGGTGGGTTATTAGCACTCAATCCACTGTGACAATTCTTTTCAAAGAAAAAGCCAGGGCACCTTCTAAAAGATAGGGAAAGTAAGAATTTCCTTGATCTTTGGCTATAGGGAGTTGTTAAATAACTATTCTGAACCCGATCTTTATTTCTCATTTATTTTGTGCTTAGATTCCACTTTATCTTAAACCACCCTGAATCAATCAAGATGGCATCTTCTTTTGCTTGAAGAATATTTCTTGCCAGGCAGATAGTGACAGCGGTTGCACCATGGACCAGGATAACGAGTTACCCAACACCACAGTCTTCTGGTTCCCCTCAACTTCTCAATTGGACAGTTTCTCCCCAGAGACTCCAGCTACTAATGTTTCCATCAACATCACAAGCCACCATTATGACTTGACTAGCAATGCCATCCTCACCTTTATCTACTTTGTGGTGTGCATTGTGGGCCTCTGTGGAAATACTCTAGTCATCTATGTCATCCTTCGCTATGCCAAGATGAAGACAATCACCAATATCTACATCCTTAATTTGGCTATAGCTGATGAACTGTTTATGTTGGGCTTGCCTTTCCTGGCTGTGCAGGTGGCTCTGGTTCAGTGGCCCTTTGGGAAAGTCATCTGCCGGATCGTCATGACAGTGGATGGAATCAATCAATTCACTAGCATCTTTTGCCTAACAGTCATGAGTGTGGATAGGTATCTTGCTGTAGTACACCCCATAAAATCTGCTAAATGGAGACGCCCAAGAACAGCAAAGATGGTCAACGTAGCTGTCTGGGGCATCTCTCTTCTGGTCATATTACCCATCATGATATATGCTGGAGTGATCAATAATCATGGAAACAGTAGTTGCACCATGATCTGGCCAGATGACTCTGGTGTTTGGTATGCTGCCTTCATCATTTATGCCTTTATTCTTGGCTTCCTGGTACCCCTAACCATCATTTGCCTTTGTTACCTTTTCATCATCATCAAGGTGAAATCATCTGGTATTAGGGTAGGTTCCTCCAAGAGGAAAAAGTCAGAGAAAAAGGTCACCAGAATGGTCTCCATTGTTGTTGCTGTTTTCATCTTTTGCTGGCTGCCCTTCTACATCTTTAATGTCTCATCAGTCTCTGTGTTTATTGTGCCAACACCTGTCCTCAAGGGCATGTTTGATTTTGTGGTGGTCCTCACATATGCAAATAGCTGTGCCAATCCTATCCTTTATGCCTTTCTGTCTGACAACTTCAAGAAGAGCTTCCAGAATGTCCTCTGCCTGATGAAAGTTAGTGGCATTGATGAAACGGACAGGAGTGACAGCAAGCAGGACAAGGCCAGGCTCAATGAAGCTACAGAAACCCAGAGAACATTGCTCAATGGAGACCTTCAGACAAGCATCTGAGAAACACCAGCAGTGGTTGATACATCTCCATACTTCTTCATGGAAGGCAGCAGTCCATACTGAACGACAGCAAAAGCCGTTAACCCTTCTCTTAAGGGAGTGGCAAATGTATGTGACAAAAAGGGCACAGATGTACATCACAGCTCTAGGCTAGCTGGTTATGAAGATACTAATCAAAAGAAGAAGAATATTTTGGGGTGATAGACTAGACACACACATTGGTGTGTGCACAATAGTACATGCATGTATAAAGGCATGATGTGATCAAGCATAGTAAAAATGTTTATACTAGATCCATCAAAGAATGTCTATATTGGATCCATCATACTGCACTGTCTTTAAAAAAAAAAACCTTTACTGGTAAGATTTTTTCTAGTATTGAATTATTCCATTTCCAGGATTTGAATTATAATTTTAAAATGATTGGACAAGCGTTAAATAAACAAGTTCCAATTCTGAACAAATTGTATGAAGCTGGGATCATTGACACCCTCTTCCCATTCTAAAAATAGATGCTCTGAAAGTTTTGAGTTTCTGCCCTTTTTTAGTTAACAAAACATTACATTTGTGTGTTCAAACCAAAACGTAGTAATCATGATACTATTTGCAAGTTGGAAGGAGATAATGGGAAAATTAAAGCTGCATATTAAAAGAGTAGTTAATAAAATGTGATCTTCAAAAAATGAGGATTGTATAGCTCATTGGGCAATAGAGGAATGTCTGCAGCCATAACCAGATTCTTTTCCTATGAATTCACAAAAATAATTTATTTTGCCGTGTTGCTATCCCTTGGTTTCCTACGTAATGGTTTTCCCTCAGAAAGTAGGGCAATTGGATCTCATCTGCAAATATCAGGATGGCCACTAGGTGGCAGGAGAGAGAAATTAAAACTTATTACTCTTTACTGCCATCTAGCCACCTTCATTATTTTTTCAGCACTATTTTTGGTGGCACCACAAAAAGTCCTTTTGTAAATAGAGCTGATATTACCAAAGTATGAAATCAGATTTTTCGTGTTTGACAAATGGATCCAAAATCCACACTTGAATAATATATGGACCAACCACCTCTTGTGAAGCAAGCTTTTAAGGTGTGTAGCTATTTTTAGCATACTCCATCTTACTCCCAACTTTGACATTTTTAGGTAAAATCTTAATATAGGATTTTTATGTAGGTTTTTGTTCCTGTTACTATTTTAAATGAACCCATTCAATTATCCACAAATGTGTTGGTTAAGGAATATACATAGTCCTCAATGTGGGTAAAAGCAAACCCCTAGTGGCTTGTGTATTAATGGTTTTGGGGAAAAGAATTTACTCCACCTTGAGCTCAAGATTAATAATACTTATTTAATAACCATTTCTGTTACTTATGTAACAGAATCCATTCTTTTTAGATCAGAAAAGATCATAAACTCCTGATCATTTGATATCTAGACAATGGGTAATATTTGTATATGAAACAGCCCTGATAAAATGACGGTGGCAAATGTGTACTATCATACCTTTTCTTTATATATTTTTAAGGATCATGACTAAAAAAGAGGAACCACGCTGTAACATTGACCCACATGGAAAAGGAATCTATGTGCACTTGCCTATATCAATAGGAAGGAACCTGTGGCTCTCTAAATCAGTGTTTTTTCAACCTTGGCAACTTTAAGATATGTGGACCAGGGGTGAAATGTAAAATTTGTTACTACCGGTTCTCTGGGCGTGGCTTGGGGGGGGGATAATGTGACTGGGTGGGCATGGCCAACTCTTTTTTTTTTTTAAACTTTTCAAAGATTTTTTTCTAATGCTTTGAAAAGCCTCTGCCGATCAGGAAACTCAGCTGGGATCATCAGAGAGGCATTTAAAAAAATATCTCTCTGCCGATCAGGAAACTCAGCTGGGATTGTCAGAGACTTTTCAAAGCATTTTTTTACCACCTCTTTGGCCAAGAGGTTGCAGAAAAAAATGCTTTGAAAAGCCTCTGACTATCCCAGCTGAGCCGCGCAATCATCAGAGGCTTTTTTTTTAGTTTTAAAAGCATTTTTTCGTCAGAAGACGTTGTAGAAAAAATACTTTTAAAAGTAAAAAAAAAAAAAGCCTCTGATGATCCTGCGGCTCAGCTGGGCATGGGGGGAAGGGGTGCGGGGATTTTTGCTACTGGTTCTCCGAACCACCCGCCGCCATCGCTACTGGATTGGGCGATCCGGTCCGAACCGGGAGCATTTCACCCCTGATGTGGACTTCAACTTCCAGAATTCCCATGCTGGTTGAAGAATCCTGGGAGTTGACGTCCACACATCTTAAAAATTGCCAAGGTTGACAAACACCGATCTAGCTACTCTTGGCCATTTTGTCTGAGGCTCCTGGGAATTGTAGGTTGGCAATATCGGACAATGGGCCTATTCTGCACCTACAAGTCCTGGATACTGAACTTGCCTTAGGAGTTCAGTATGGAAGATACCCTCTAATTCCAAAGTTTCCAGTTCAGAATCTGATACCTGGGGCAGAACCAACAACAGTTACTGCCAAGGCGAAGAGCTATGCTTCCATCTGTGAGCCTTGAGAAATCTAAACCAACATAAAAAGCCCTATCCTGGTTCTAAAGCTTCTGCTCTGGCTTGCCATTAAGTGGTGGTGGAGTGTGTGTGTGCTGTTGTTGCTTGATGTAGGGTGTGTAGGTTGGTAGCCAGCATAGCAAACTCTTGCTAAACCCAATCTCTCTCTGCTCTTGCAAAAATGTTGACATTTAAAACTTTTTTTGTTCCTTTCTTTCACTCCCTCATGGCTCTTCTTGACTCCACCATCTTGACATGTGAAGGAATCAGAATTCCCTCCAGCTTAGCTTTTGACAGGCTTTAATGAGGTGCAAGAGAGAGTTGGACCAACTGCAGCATGGATGCGCTCAGCTCTTCCATGCACACTCACAAAAGTTCGACAGTTCCTCTGTGGGTGTTTTTCCCTCTGGCACCTCCCGTCTTCCCTCCAATTGCCTAAATGCCATCGGGGGTTTGATTTTGAATGGGAGAAATGGGCTGCTGCACTCAATGCTCTTTTCTGTGGTGGAATAATTACTTGGGGGTTTTGCAGGCCAGAAATGATAGCCCTCATTTTATTGGCCACCTTCCTCAGCTAGGAGCACCTTTTTGGAGGGTACAAAAGCCCAATGTTAAAATAAGCCAGCTGGGTAACTGAATGGTAAAATGAGAGTGCCAACTCTTAAAATCCACGTTTCCCCATGTCTCCGGGGTTGCCTTGCTGCTGTAATAGCTGCTTGTTGGGTTGCCTGGAACCATTTATTAAGCAGAGGCCTCCAATTATATTGCCTTCTACAGTGGCCAGTAAGTACCAGGTTATTCTCATCTATCCCATATCCTCCAAATATATTGCCGATAGAATAGTTGGCAAAGCAATTAGCTTTCATACACCTTGAAAGTACTATGGGTGGCCACTGGCTTTGAGGAAAACCTACCTTAAAATTGGAGTAGCTAAGGACAACTTACTGTCTCATTGAGGGATGGGATGAAGGCATCATTATGAGAAAAATGGGTATTTAGACCTTAGATAGGATCAATCTAAATATAAATCAGACCTTATTTATGAAATGTTCAGGACAGGAGAAAGAGGAGTATAGAATATATTACAATCTTTCTTGCAACCAGTAAGGAGCAGGACTTTAATCCGCTAAGATTCCTGTTTTTCTGACTGCTACACACTTATCCTTTGAGTACTTATATGTCAGAGCAAAGGATCAGGACCGTATGCTAAGCTGCAGCACAGAAGATTTATTCAAGCTTATACACAAGAATAGTCAACTGACAGTCGGCACTAAATTGGCGCTAGAAAAGGGTCAAAGGAATTCAAGGAGGGCTGGCATGAATCATTTGTGGCAATGTAGGGACTCTAAGATGATGACATACTTAATTCCATCCCCAGCTTTGTCTATTCCTCTCCTATATTGTATCTTTTTTTTCCTCCACCAGTTAAGTTTCTGCCCCAGAGTTCTGTATTTCTGCATGATTGATAGATTTTGAGGACCAGATTAAGACTTGTCGGACCTGCAAATCTGTATTAAGCAAGATATTTTAGTTCAAGCCTTTACATTTCTGAGTTTGTTTAATGAAGTTTTATCATAAACTATAATATTACCCCTATCAAGGAAGCTTGAGTAAGTTTATCTTTCAGTTATTGTCCCCAGGGGAACAGTTTGTTGATAAAACAAGGTGCATGTTGATCATTAAAGTATTGATATTCTTAAGGATAATTAAGTTTTATGATCCTAGATATTTTAACATGGTTTTTACTTGCTGGAGTACCTTATTACTTGGCCCTCAATCACAACTGGCCCTCATTGCTCTTATTTTAATGGCAGTTTTGCGCACAGGAAACTATTGAATGCAATCTCATCAGGACTTGAAACTTCACAGTCATCGCTACAATTTCATTCATCCCAAATTTTGGGTTCAATTTGTATTTATCATACAGGACATAAGTAGACTATCAGATGCAGGTTGCAGAACTTAATAATAACCACTAGGTGATATCAAAGAATTCCGTTTCTCTCTTTGCTGTCTCCTACTAGCATTCTGGAATTTGCAGCCCACTGCTGCTAGTCCATTACCAAGTAGTACATATAGCAAGGATTTAAAGTTATTTATGAACAGGAACAGGCTTTATAAGCCCTATACAGATAGTCCTTGGCTTATGACCAGAATTGAAACCAGAATTTCCATTGCTAAGTAAAGTTAAGTGAAGTGCGTCTGATTTCACAACCTCTTTTGCCATGTTGTTAAGAAAATCACTGCTGCAGTTAAGTGAACTATGTGGTCATTAAGCAAGTCCAGCTCCCCTCATTGACTTTGCTTTTGGGAAGCTGGTTGGGAAAGTCATAAATGGCAATCACGTGACCTTAGAATGTTGCAAACATAAGTACATCTAGGTTGTTAAGCGCCCAAATTCTAATCATGATTGGGAATAGTTGTAAGTGGGAGGGCCGTTATAGGTTACTTTTATCAGTGTCAACTTTGAACTTCGCTAAACGAATGGTTGTAAGTTGAGGACTACCTGTAAAGGAGAGGTAGACAACTAATTAGCAGTGAAGGATTGTGCTATTTTTGTAAAAAACTCACCATCAACAGCTATAATTGGATTGAGCAGGGTTGTAACCCAATAACATTCCTGCAACTAAGAGAGGATAAGACTTTAATGTTCTTTTGGATCTGTGGACTTGGGAAGCTACATATACTATTTTTACTTCCTTATATGAACTAAACATATCCAAAGGCTTACGCTAGTATTCCATTTCATGAGTCATGGTGGTGCACTGATTAAAATAACAGTATTGCAGGCGAAACTCATAGCCCATAGCCAGCAGTTTGATCCTGACCTCCTCAAGGTTGACTCAAACTTCTATCCTTCATAAGCATTTTACCTATCCTCGGTAAAATGAGGACTCATATTTTTGGACAATATGCTGACTATGAACCGCTTAGAGAGTGCTATAAAGCACTGTGAAGCGGTATATAAGTCTAAGTGCTATT